CAATTTTTTCTAGAGATAAAAATTCTTCAGCAATTATATCATCAATGTGCTTAATTCCTCATCAAAAGGAGGGGGGGGGGGGGGGGGTGTTCACAAACTGCTTGTGCATATATCAGAATAATAGATTCATATGTGTAGTAGGTGTACCAAGAATAATAACAGCAGCCGATGTAATAGCTCCAAGCCAATTTGACTCTTTCGCAGTCAGGCCATACAAGATGGAATATACCAGCAGAACTACAATGGAACCAAGATATAGAAACCCAAGATGTGAAGCCCTGCAGAGATAAATTTGGTTAATAAAACTATCAAGTAACAACAAAGATAATAGACTCTGAAAGAAAATACAATATGAAATCATAAACTAAAACTCAAATACTGGATGGACCTGTAAACTAGAAAAGCTTTGTTGCCGTATACAGGAGCCTATTTTAAACATGGGGGTACCATATAGGCAACTACACACATAATGTTTGGTTCGTAAAGGCAAAGGGCACCAATAGTGGCAGCATACTGAAGAAAATCTCCAGAAAAGTCTCATAACCAAAACACAGGAAACCGTAGCAGATGTCATAACTGAAAAGCAATTAAAATAGGACTTACCTTCTAGATTGACGAGGATATAACTCATTGGGGTCTGGTGGTTCTGTTAAGCAAGCCACCGGACCCACTTCAATACAATCCGAGTAAGCAAATTTATATGCCCTTCGCACATATTCATCAACATCCAAGCCATTGCCTGTTGAATTCATCCAAGGATTACAGATAAAACAATAAACAGACTATAAACCCTAAACCGAATATGGAAAGTGGAAATAATCCAATGTGAGAAAATGATATTTGATCGCATTTGATTTTATTTGATAGATTAGTATGATTAGGTAAATTCCTAGATTTAGACTACATTAGCTTTTTACAATTTACTCTCATTATCCTGTTGATTGTGTAACTAGCTCTTAGAATTAAGAATGAGAATTACAACAACCTGATCTCTAAATTTCTACATGGCATCAGAGCCTGATTCTAATGGAATTAGTGAAAGCCAATCTAAATCTATCAATTCCCCAGTAGAGTTGATGTAAAAAAAGACATAGCCCCTGTTTGAGCCACATTATTTTTTCATTCTCATTTTTCTACTCATTTTCAACCACACATTTTTCAATAAAATAATATTTTTCACACATCAATAATTTTTCCTTCTTTTTCAACCACATATTCCCCATCACATCACTTCAAAAAAATGCACTCTCTCATTTTAATGTGCACCAAACATGCTCATAATAATAAGTTCCAGTTATTATTGCTAAACGAAAAACAATAGTCTTTTTTTTTCTTTCCAATTGAGCGGAATTCTTTTTGAGAGATGTCTGGTGTTATGCAAATCGAAACTTCTCCTTTCAACAAGTAACAGTTAGAGCATCTCTACAAGTTATTGGTCCAAACCTCTCAAATCTCTTCTCCCTCATGTTTATTAGCACAGAAAGCTAATCCAATAACGACCTGAAGCACTTCAACCTAGAATCAAGTACAATGGATAATTGATTCTGGTGCATCAGACCATAAGACTAGTCTATCTACTCTTTCTTCCTCTTATAATCCTTGTGTTGGCAATTTGAAAATTAAAGTTGCTGATGGTTCTAGGTCATCTGTTGGAGGCAAAGGTTAAATCAAAACCTCACCAAATATTAGCCTAGAATCCGTTCTTCATGTTTCTAATCTTGCCCATATCCCTTTATCTTCTAGTAATTACTGAAGATAAGAATTGTCATTAAATTTTTTCCATCTCTTGAACTTCCGTCAGAACATTTTGATGCCCAAAGGATAGAGTTGTATGACTAACCATTGAATACCATCCTGCATATAAAAAGCATGTTGATTGCCAGGGCAATTGCTGACACACCAAAGAAAAATCCTGAAGCTGAATATCGCTCGGATGCTTTTACACCAGCTGTAACATACACAGCACAAAGTTCATATGCACAAAGCAATCCAACAGCCAGAAGAAGTAGAACAGCAACAGCCCCTGCACAAGGTAGATTTGATGAGAGAATATAAAGTAAGGAATCAAAAATGTCCTTAAAACAGCGTAAAAAAAGTGCTGGACTAAATGGATGAGTAACTTTCAATTCCAACTCCTATTAAACACCACTTCACAAAGTAAACTTACTATTACTGTATTACACAACTAAGAGCTCATCAGAACTTCTGTTGACCCAATTTAAAGTAGCTTGTAGCCCGAAAATACTTGAGCTATAATTAAATAATCCTGATAGGAAAACACACCTCAGAATTTAATTTAACCAAAGAATAATTAGGAAGGCCTGAAAGTTTGAACTGAATATTCAAGACAATAAATAAAATATTACAGTTATCTCCATTCAAACATCACATCCTCGTTCATTTAAGATATGATATCACATATATAAAGGTTGAAAAAAGCATAATTTTAAAAACAAAAATCAGAAAATTTTATTTTGGTATGAGTTATGAAGCATTTCAAAAAAATGGAATTTGAAATAAGTTGAAATGCTTTAAATATCATCAAAATAAATAATAGAGCATTAGAATTAGTGAAAGGAGAGATTGTACATTTCAGCTTCGAATGTCCTAATGATGTAACTTGTCCTGTTAGCCCATTGGAAGCAGGGAAATTAAAGAATCCACCCTCTTAGCTTCCCAGGAAAGGCCGGTGTTATTTTCTTTCACCACATCAATTAATATACGACCAATCATATTCAAATAGGTTTCACGTCAACTTTATATAGAAAATTTGGACACTGGACTGAAGGAAATATGGGTGGAGCCAATCCCCCTAACAAAAGCTTGAGAGTTAGTAATAAAAAGGTTATACATACTTGAGCTTTGCCATTGTGTTCTCCACCAGAGCATTATCGAGTAAAATGCCAAAACAAGAGCAACTCCAGCCATTATAACAGCCAGACCAATTATGTCTCGACCTAATATCAAAATCAACCAACTTCCCCATATAATAAGTACCACCACTGGTGAAATTACAATCATCCATGCAAAGAGAGACAGAAAACCACATAATATTCCAAGCTGAGGTCCTTGTAAAAATGCTGGCCATTTTCTAGCAAAGATCCAACTGAGAAGGTAAACAATAAAGAGATATTCAATTAAAATACAAGATAAAGTGTTCGACAAAATAAGCAAGCAGACAACATCCTATTTCGGGTTAAAAAGCAAAAGACATGTCAATGTTGAACGACAGGACTACACGTTTCTTGTTAAATTAGTAACCCATATACAATTGCCTAACTCCTTTTCCATTTCAATGAAGATCTTTGATTAATAGCTTTCATGGGAAAGAAAACGTCTTCATGAATAAATAATGATCAAACTTATTTACATCATGTCAACATGCATGTATTTCTCGATTGACAAGCTAATGGAGTGGCTTGATTGAAACAATAATATAAGTATGGAAGACCCTCAACATAGAAGTAGAGCATCCTAACCCTAAAAGTACTCCCATAATCAATCAATTAATGCATGACGAAAAAGTAGCCAGCTATGTATGGGTAACCTTAAAACATTAAGCCCTTGTTTGAGCCCCATTTTGAAAGGAAAAAAATGCATTATTGAATAGTAATTTTTAGAGAATGTGGGGTTAAAAATAAAGAAATTTTTTTCGATTTACACATAATATTATTTTATTGGAGAATGTGTGGTTGAAAATGAGTTTTAAAAAAAATAATTTTTTGATAAAATGGGGCTCAAACAAGGGCTAAATTTCTTGAAGTGAGATTATCGAGAAATTTAAAGTAAATTTTTACTCTCTCTGTGCCAAAAGATCCATGAAGTCAATGAAGAAAACAAAAGAAATGTCATTCAGCAAAGGAATATCATATTCTAGCTCTTCCTATTTCTAAGGACTACCAATACATAAAAGAAAATTCAAATAACAGGAAAACAATCAAAATATTACCATCACCCAGCAATTTTTATTGAACACAAGCCTGCCTTGGAATCCAGCAATGTGCCAAATAAAAAGACTCAATTAATTTCACCAAAATAGTAATGAGCATTCCGGATTACACCTATCTGATTTAAAACCCAGTAAAGGTGGAATTTAATATTTCTCTCTTTTTGCAACAAAATGATAATAATAATTAAATAAAAGTGATAACGAAAAAAGTACACGATGAAAGATGAATGAGAAGTGAAAACACTACCTTTCTTTGGATAAACAAAGAAGAATTATAATGAGTTCCTAGGGCAACCAGTGTATCATGAGAGGTGAAAACACTACCTTCTTTGGATAAACAAAGAAGAATTATAATGAGTTCCCAGGGCAACCAGTGTATCTTTTCTTTTCATTTTTTTAATTTCAGCAAATATGGTTACATACATACATATATATATATTTGTACTTGCATGGATGATTATCCGTTGTTTTTGACATCTTTGTACGAGATACATTTCGGGGCAGGAGAGGGTGATTGTTGCAGGTGGAGGTTGACACGTGGTGGTATTTTTTCCGTTCGCACTTGTTTTAAATCTTTATTGGGACTTGTAAAGAGTGCATTCCTCTGGAAGATGGTTTGGATATGTAAACTGCCCCCACGAGTGGCATTCTTACTATGGACTGTGGTCAGAGAACAGGTGTTAACGGCGGATAACCTTCGTACAAGGGCTTCTTTGTTACGGAGTGATGCTATATGTAAAAGGGATGGGGAAACGATTGACTACTTGTTCCTTCATTGTGATGTTGCTCGTTTACTGTGAAACGATATTTTGGTATCGCAACACATGGATTGGATGTTATCGAGGCGTATGGAGGACATGTTAAAGGCGTGGAGGAGAATGTTTCGAGATAAGGATAGCAAACTTGTTTAAGACCTTATTCCGGGTTGCATCGTCTGGTGTGTGGAAAGAAAGAAACAGTCGCTATTTTAAAGACCAATCACGGACAACAGCAGATTAGAGAATTGTTTTATTTGACATTGTATATTTAGTTTAATGATGCGACTCTTAGGCATATAGACGGGCTGCCTAATTTTATGTTGTTACTTTCTGACTTAAATTGATAATACACTTCATGTGTACAATGCATTGATTAATAAAATTATTGATTACCTTACAAAAAAAAACAACCTACGCGGCTACGCCAATGGATAAAAGCACTAGTACCTACAAATCATAGAACAACCTAACTACACTTTTAACCAATTTCCAGCCCACTCTCAAAAGCAACACCATTATAAGGCTTATGACTGTTTGTAGATCGAAGATAAAAGAAATTATTACGCCAAGAAAGATTCATGTAAAAAGTAATATACTCCCATTAGTATTATATTTCAAGATTCTGTGTTTGCTAATCATTGATTTAAATCCAAATTTTCATGACAATTAATTAAGTTATGCAGGTTGGTTGAACTAAGTACTCAAAGGAAAGCACAAAAAACTGGAAAAATTATTCTTCTGGCACAACTGGCATATTTTAGCCTACGTGTTAATCCCCAAAAGCCAGGGAGAACTTGAGGACACCCAATCACTCTCTTTCCCTGCATAAATTGCTCAACGTTTGTGGTGTATTTAATATCCCACCTTAACAAATCGTTATTTCTCAATAAATGGCCCTTTTCTACAACAATTTAAGAAATTACTAATCGAGAATCAAGAGCGGGCATTAATTAGTAAAGAAATTTTCAGGAACCATTGTTGATGCACAGCTAGCACTTGTTTCCTAGTTATTCCAACAAATTTCAACCTCACAAAATGTAAACAAGTAACCAGAAAGAAAGAAATGAAATGCCACGGCAACGAGGATGGCTTTTTAACTCAGGCATGTCTGTCCTTTGAGAAATTAAATGTGAAAGAAAAACTGATGTAAAAAAACTCCGGCAAATTTTCATTAATCTCACTTGGGGAAATGAGGAAAACAGACATTTAAAATAGAATAAAGAAACGTCAAGTGTCCTTTTTTCACATATATTTGTAGAATTATTAAAGCATTGCCTCCACCCATTATAATGTTGGTAGCGATGCAAAGACTAGCAAAGAAAATTATTTTCCAATGCAATTTCAACTTTTTTTCTCAATGCTGCCACAAGGTCTTTTTGAAATATAACCACCTGCAGGATTTCTCCTCTGTTTCCATATTTCCCTTTCTCTTACTAGCATTAGTTACTAACGCGTATGCAGAAGACATACCATCAAAAGTTGTGGAATGAATAACAGAAAATGAACAATAATACTGATAATTATTTGTTAGATAAACTAATTTTGGCACTTCTCTTCACAAATAGAGAATGTTCTCACCATAATTATGCTCAAAGAGCATCAAAAAGGTATCGAACTGATGGGAACTGTAATATAGACATAAGGTTTTAATATTAACACAACAGATTCAACCTTTTTCCCGTGAGTTACTTACTAATATAATGCCTAACAGAAACTGATAATTTCTTAAATTTGTCGTTCTCCCCTGCTTCGAGTGGACTATTTACTGGGATTAAACTCAAGAAGACTTCATAATTTTATTAGCCATTTCAAGAACATACATATCAAATGCTTTATATCACCCCTCGAAGATGTCACAACTGCATTAAGTTAGAAGTCCCCTTCATTCAATCCATGTTGGTGATTTCACGCTGTGGAAATTATTGTATAGTTTGAGGTTATTTAAGGTTCTTTAACATGACATTAGTATCCTCAGCATTGCTTTCATATAGAAATAGACGAAAGAAACCTCAAGTATCCTTTCCGTATATAAACAGAAAATGATTAGAGATATTGAAAAAGAATCATCACCTATATATCCGCCATGGCCTCCAGTTCACCAGCCACAGTATAGCAAAAGAAGCAGAACCCAGAACAGAGAAAAGGGTAGCCGAAATTACACATGCCAGCATCAACCCGTGCTCCTTCCCTTCCATTTCCTTCCCTATTCTCTCTCAACTACAACCAATAAAAACACCACCCGTAAAAAATGATAATAGTAATAACGATAAATAATATAAATAAATAATTGACCCCTTAGCAAAAAGGAACGCATAAAATGAAGTAAACCCAATTCAATTCCCCATTTATACCGTTCAAAAACCAAAGATTTGCAAGCTTGAGGAAAATGTTCCACCCAGAAGCGTATTCGTACAACTTACCTATATCGGTGAAAACTGGTGCATTTCCTCCGAGGATTCAGCTAAGACAGCTAGGATGCCAGAGCAAACTGTCCGGCACCACCATAATCAAGTGAAAATAAGCTAGGGTTTTGCTTTCTTCTGTGAGCTCAAGCCCAGCTCAAGAAGATACAAGAAAGATAAGATATTTATGAGTTTTCCATAATGGGTTTCTTCGATTGTGTGAGTCTGTTAAAACAGATTGTTCTTGAGAACCCTGCACTGCAATGAGAGAGATGAAAGAGTGGAAACACGGTGCAGATGAGCAGTCAAGCGTGCGACTGTAAGCCCCCTGTGCTCGGATTAAATTAAAATTCATTTTCTTAACAGACATTCTACAAAGAAATAATATTTTACATAAATTTAAATTTTTTTCTTTTTTAATTACTGATTTTTCGAAAAAAATTAATATTTCTTTCATTATAATCTAAAATGATAGAGCCCAAATATGGGCTAAATAATGGAGAAAATTACCAAAAATGTCCAATTTTACAGGGTAATGTGCAAAAGTATCCAAATTTTGTTCAATGTTCATTTTACTATTGTTTAGACCAAAATGCCCTCATTGGCAGTATTAAATTCCACAATAAAGACAAAATTATTCATATAATTAAAAATTGTATTGACCAATAAGAATTTGACAAGTAACTTATACTATTTATTTTAAGAACTACAATATCAATCATGTATTAAATGTTCACTTCTTCTTATAAGTGGGTAAATAAAATATTTATTAAATATCGAGAACTATACTTAAAATATCAAAAACTTTATAAAATGTAGATAACTCTCATATTCATAACGAAATCTCGTTCTAGACAAATAAAGTGTCGAGTGTTGAAATAAATAGAGTTGAAATGTCGATAACAACTTTTAAAATGTCAAGAACATCATAAAATATCAAAAACTTATCAATAAACAAGATTTCAAATAAAAATTAATTTCTACCGATAATTATGGAAAGCGTAATCAACTTGCAAATTTTGATGAGATTATGAAATTATATAATTTTCTCATGAATTGAAAGCATATAATTTTTTTAATGTTAATTGCTTTTCTAATTCATTTTTTTTTTTTCAAAATCATTGGTTAATATCTAATAGATAATGAAAGCGCATAAATTTATTAGGTAGGGATGGACAAAACTCCTGAATAAAATCGAGTTGTTCTTCATACGTTCAATACCCGAACGGATATTTGAATCAAGAACCGATTGGTTTGGTTCGGTTCGATTCTTGACTCTAAACCCAAAACCGAATAATCGAATTTAAATAATTTTTTATATTGAATTAGTTAAATTTTTTAAATTTTTTTCTAAACAAATTAGTAAATTAACTAATTTAGTGAGTAATGCTCTAATTCTCAAGTCAGGTCCAGCTCAAACCAACCCAATTTCTAAATTTAATTTTTTATTTAAGTTTTTTGTCAAATCATTAATTTCATTATTAGCCCAAGATCTAGGCATTTTTAAGTTTTTATCATTTTCTTTTCAATTTCACACTTTCATTCGGTAACCATTAAGCCACTGACCCTAAATCATTTGATAAATTGAAAACCTACATCTACATGCCCAAATCGAAGTCGCCGACTACCGAGTTCGACTTCCTCTCTCCAATTGCCCATCGAAGCCGCAATCTTTGACCACAACTATTGATCGTTGATCGTTAGAAATATGTTTAAAAATTTAATTATGATAGGGAACCGAACAAAACGGAACCTGAATAGTTCCGTAATTATATTTGAACTTAACAGTTCCATTTATTAAATGCCCTAAAATTTTGGTTAGGTTCGGTTCTTAAGATAACCGAATTGGATCGAACAATGTCCAACCCTACTATTAGGTTTAGCTATCATTAATGGAAAATGCTATGTGCACACCTCAAGGTGTACACAATCCCTTACACCTCTCTCACAAGGAGGGGGTCCCACAAATAATTTATTGTGTGTGGGCCCCCCTCCATGTGAGAGGGGTGTAAGACTTTGTGTATAATATTATGTACACATAGCATTTCTCATCATTAATATAGATTCTCATGAAGGATACTTGCTCTTCTCGAAATTCTCAACGAATTGAAAAAAAAAAATTTGTTTCGTTTTTCATTAAGGGTATAATAGATAATTTGATACTAAATTGACCATTTTTGCAACAGTTATCAAAATTAAACAATTTTCAATTTACAAGTATGAAATTGGAAATTTTTGTAAATTTCCCTAAATAATAAAGTAACATTTAAGAATTTTGCTAGAGAATAAGGGTTTGTTCTCTTTACTGTTTTTAGATCATTTTCATTTTTCAATTTTCGAAAACACTAAAAACGTGTTTACTTACCTATTTTCAGAAACGAGTTTAAGAGCTTGTCTATTTCTGCTATTCAGCAGAATTCCAACCGTTAAGAATACTATTCAGCCGCAATTGTGGACTAACTTATCTCTTAGTGGGGCCGTGAGTTTGAAAAAAAAGATAACAAAATCAATTTTTTTGGGCAAAAAAAGCGGTATCAGCTCTAAAATTTACTAAGAAAATGAAAAACGTCAAAAAAAATCGTTTTTGCCGTTTTCAGTTAAAATAAAGCAAAATTTCATTTCGTTATTTTTGAAAACAATTTTTCTAAATGACAAAAAGAATATATTTTCAACAATTTCAAAATGGACATTCAAAACACAAAACTCAAAATGAATTCAAAACTAAAAATTAAAAACTGAAATACGAAGAGAACCATCCCTACTAGTTTTAGCAGGTATCTAGGATTATAATGGACTTTTTATTTGTCGTTCAGTATCTTGACATGTCATGCCCTTGTTATCTTTTGCAATAGAGATTTTATTTTCCGTTCAAGCAATAATCTCTACATAGAATTATTGAAACATTTAATTTAAAAATTGAAGTTACTAAAAATAAAAGAAAATTGTTTAGTTTTAAATATGTAATATGCTCGCCTCACATTCGTAAATAGAATCATTTATTCACATATTTTTCAAAATACATTTTTCTTTCTATTCATTTCAACCACACAATTTTTAATGAAATAATATTACACAGGACAACAAAAGTTTTCTTTCGTCAAAACCATGCATTTTTCATCAATTTACTATTACAAAATGCATTCTATACCAAAAATGGGGTTCATACATGTCTTATGTTCGATTTCTTTAAAAATAAGTGTAGATCTAACTAAATATAAAAGAGCAAGATTTCAGTTACTGTTCACAAGCCAAGCCGAGCCGAGCAGAGTCGAGCCGAGCCAATGACGGCTCGGCTCGTCTAAGCCCCTTTTTTTATTATTATTATTAACGTTTAATTCAATATTTTAAGTTACAAATATCCGTTTTAAGAAATTTAAAATTTATTGAAAATGTTGAAGTGCGGCCGTGATAAATATATGATCGATAAATTTTAAATATCAAAAATAATTTTACATTAATTGTATAAAGTCGTGATTGTTTATATTTCTTTTTAATCTCAACCACATTTCAATGTC